AAGCGTCATTCAGAAAGGTGCAGCCAGCACTCGCCACCCCCGCCAAACGTCGACGTCGTGTACAACACGAGGTAAGCCCCTGTCGCACCGTACTGCATCGATGCTGCCCTTGCAAGAGCCGCTGATATGTATGTGTCTCATAGGCATTCCTTTACGACCGTACGTCGTCGTATAGAGAGGTTTTACCGCTTGTACGCACATTCGCCGTGCGTTGGACTCCTCTCGACGACGTCGCTTGTGCATATGTCAGAGGAGTCCAATGAACGGCGGATCTTCGGTCTGGTAATCTTTGATGTTTTCGACCTTAGGCAAAATGTGTTCTAACGTAACGTCATTGATCTAACAAGTAAAACATGCATCGGCAAGCCAAGTTGTCACTTCTTAACTCAAAGGTCGTGGGTTCGATCCCCGGCTTCCCCGGATTATTTCCGCAAGGATTTATCCGTGGGAATCCGGATAACAAGGGCTGCGTACGACGACGAGGACCGAACTTCGAAGAAGATCCTCGGGATATTGGTATGTATCTCAAGGCTATGTAGTGGACACAAGCAAACTTGTCAATGCCATTACGCCCCTATAATCAGTCTGAGAATTCCATCCAAATTCCTAACACGTGGAGGAGTTGTGGGGAATTGATACTAGTGACCAACATCAAATGTCGGAAGAGCCTGAACGTGTCGTTGAAAGTGTATGCGGACGGAGTGTGCCGTGTAAAGCATCTACAGTCCACACCCCGTCCGTATGCACAGTTCTGTCGTTTAGCTCGGGCCATCCATGCAAACATGCCTTACATTGATTGCGTCACGTCTAGTATTAATTCTGTCACGTCAAGTACAAGGACTACTGCGTACTTGCACTACCGCAAGTCCATTCGGATGATTACCATCTTCAACATAGTCACCCTAACCACATCACAGGTCACCTATACTATGTCAACTCAGATGATATACATGTTCTATAGTTGCACTGGGCGTTGAAATGCGCCTTGAGATGGCAAGTACATGAAGCCGAACAAGCCTGCCAAGGTCATTCCGCCCTGAGAATTCCTTTCAACTTCCTCCCACACCATCATAAAGCCATTCCAGGACGCATTGACAGCCCACAATACCTTTCCTCATTATTCATTTTCCCATGAAGTTCTCCCTCCTCGGTGTCATTGCTCTCTTCGCGGCGGCGGCCACCGCCCAAACCAACAACGCCATCGCGGTCATCGACAATCGCGTTCGTTCGCTCCACGAGGTGTCTGAACCCGAAGGCGATGCCGACGTCAACGCCACCGCCAAGGTGTATCAAGGCGATGAGGACATCGATGCCAACCGGGCTTGCCAGGAACAAAACACCAACTACATCCCGTCCCTCAAGGCCGGGCAGTACTCGACTAGTGCGTTCCACAACTGCTTCCGCACCATCCAACAAATCTACGAGTTCACCAATGCGTTGGTCGCCCAAAACCCGACTTTGTTGACCAGGTTTGCCATCTCCAAGACGAACTGGAACAACACGATTTACGGGTTCAAGTTGTCCAAGGGCAAGGGTCACTCGCAGTCGCTGTACTTTCAATCCCAGCTACACGCCCGCGAATGGGCTGCAGTGTCGTCGGTTGTGTTCTCATTGGCGTCGATTCTGGATGACATTGCAAACAAGAAACCCACGGCCGCCGACGAGTACGACTTGTACTTTGTGCCGATCGTCAACGTCGACGGCTACCTCCAGTCGTGGAAGAGCGGCTATCGATTCCTGCGCAGGAATGTGAATGGTGTCGACTTGAACCGCAACTGGCCGACTCCCTACGTGAACCCCAAAAACATTACGAAAATTAACGAGACGTACCCCGGACCTAACGCGTTCAGTGAGCCTGAAACCGCGGGCATCAATGATTGGTTTGAAACCAAGCGCGATGAAATCCAAGGGTTCCTCGACATTCACACGTACGGGGGGCTCATCTTGTACCCATATGGGGACAATAACCAGACCATCGGCGGGGGGTTTGACGAGAAGTACCAAGTCCTCGGCCGTGGATTGCAAAGCGCGATGGGGGAGTACAAGCCTGAACCGTCGTACACATTGTACTTGTCGTATGGGACGTTCATAGATTACGTGTTCCGTGAGTTCAAAAAGCCCGCCCTGACGATTGAAATTTTTGGCCGTACATTTAACGTGAGCGCGTCGACCATCCCGGCACGCGGCCTCGAAGTGTACAAAGGCATCAACCAATTCGCCAAGGAAGTCGCCGTGTTCAACGGCGGAGACGTCAAGCCCATCAAGACGTCGTGTGGCGATTAGGAGCCACGAGCTCGACCTAACAGTCAAATCGTATTGTTCAATGGTAGTACTTACTATCTGCGGTGGTTTTCAACTCCCAGTACAGGGTAGCACGGAGACGTAACGTCGCCAAAATCCTCTGTACTCCTAGGTAATGTAAAAATTGACATCATAAAATTGATATACCGCTTACGCTCTTCTTATTGAAGTGATAATACTACACATAAATTTGGACCGGCAGTTTATTGGAGAAATCGACTTGACACTGAAGCACAATTTACAGTTAGTACCGTCAATTGTATACTGCTCAAAAATTACATAACGTTATAAAGTATTCGCGTGTCATATCTTTGGGTCAAACATCGCTGAAGTACCATTGGTTGGAATGTTGGTTTGAAACAATTTCATTGTATTCCCTTTAATACTACTTTAATACTAGTATTGTAGTAGCATTAAATTTGGACCGGTAGTTTATTGGAGAAATCGACTTGACAGGGAAGCACAATTTACAGTTAATACCGTCAATTGTATACTGCTCAAAAATTACATAACGTTATAAAGTATTCGCGTGCCATATCTTTGGGTCAAACATCGCTGAAGTACCATTGGTTGGAATGTTGGTTTGAAACAATTTCATTGTATTCCCTTTAATACTACTTTAATACTAGTATTGTAGTAGCATTAAATTTGGACCGGTAGTTTATTGGAGAAATCGACTTGACAGGGAAGCACAATTTACAGTTAATACCGTCAATTGTATACTGCTCAAAAATTACATAACGTTATAAAGTATTCGCGTGTCATATCTTTGGGTCAAACATCGCTGAAGTACCATTGGTTGGAATGTTGGTTTGAAACATTTTTATTGGCTCTTCGATTGGACAAGAAATTCGAAATTCTAAAAACGAATATATAACTGTATGGTACTAGTACATGCTTAGTGAAACATGATATGTATTGTGCTTTTTACAACTTTTGATTCTGGATCTAAAACCCCTCTTTTAAACATGGACCCACGAAATGTTAGCCTGAGTCCACTTGATTTTAGTAACACGAAGCAAGCACCAAATGTATTGTGCTTTTCATCTTTTTTTACTAATCCATGGCTCAAACCCTCCTTTGATAAATTTTCCATCCTAAGATTAGGGTAAAGTAAGGTATTTTACGGATTGGGGCTCTCATGACTTAACCGATTGCCACAGAAAACAATGACATCAACATAAACCTACCACGCTCTACCGGTAAGAGCGTGGTCTCCGAATAATGTGCCATCCATGAAGCAATCACGTTATCCGAGCATTATTGACGTTATCCGTACATTATTTTAAGCGTGCCACCCAGGGGTAGGACAAAAAAGCCCGCAAGAAGTCAGCCAACCAAGATGCCATGACTGCCTCCAAGTAGATACTAGTTAATAGAGCTTAGGAGCAGTAGGTATCATCATGATCAGTGATGCAGGTTTATTGTATATAACCTATATGAATTACAATATAACTCATCACTTGGTTGTAGATTGTGATATTGATGTACTACTGATCAATGACAGGATGTCTGACTTGATGTACTCTCACAAATTATATGACTGATACAATCAGTTGTTATGATACTACTTCAGTACCTGGTTCTTCACTGGTGCTCCTGACAATTTACCTACGCGAAATTATAGCTGAGTCTCGCCTTGCTTTCGGCGATATTGCGTTGACGTGTGCTCATGAAACTAGGTCCAAGCATCTAAACGATGAAATTAGGTACACCCCGAAAGTATCACGTCGATACCTGACCTGCACGCCGAGTGCTGTCCAAGTTCTCCTCTGACTGTCACCGCACTGATGGCGTCGATATAAACGCAATTTTTAGGTAAATAATTTGAGCACTATAAAACTCAAACATTATCTTTGATAAGTTGATTTGATGTAAAGACGGGGCAAAAATGTCTGCATATTTTACTATATAAGGCGATTCAATAAACCTGATTGATTAACCGAATATCAGGTATAATGCGTAAACTTCTCGGCATCTCAACAACTTTGCCAGCAAATTCACAACCAATACAACAAACTCCGTCGTCACCGACAACAAACTCCGTCGTCACCGACAACAAACTCCCTCGTCACCGTCTTCGTTTACTGTTAGTCACTTCACTAACACCACTTTCCAATTCTCCTCTCGAGTGACATGCTCATCAACGCCAACGCCATTCTGAGCCGCTTACAAGATCAGTCCATTCGGGACCAATCTTTCCTTCAGTCCTCGTACGACGAGTTCGGTGATATCGTTGGTACTGTCTCTGAGAGAGACGAAATATCCAACGATCCTATCTTTGATCGTTTCATCTCTGACTTGGGCTCAGACAGTTTTCGCATCATGACGAACTTCACTGCAAGTGAGTTTGAGACCTTGTGGTCTGTCGTCGACACGGCAATGCATTCGGCGTGGATGGAAGGGCGAGGACCCGCAGTTGTTTGTACTCACAGTAATACAACTTGCTTTGATTTGGTACGATAGTTTGTGAATTTTCAGTCATTCAGGTTTCATCAGTAACTCAGTCACTTCGGAATTTACACTCTTTTAACTCAAAGAGGTATCACTGATCATTTGCAAGGTTGTTGCGTTTTAGTGCATCGAATGTTACAAATAATGGTAACTTTGGAAGTGAGTGGGTCATATTGTTTTTATCTCTGTTAAATTGTGTAATAGGTAGCTAGCTACTGGTTTAAAGATCTACTTAGTATTGCTCTAGTAGGTTGCTGTCATTGGAACTCAACCCTATTAACTGTAAGTGATTGCTATTAAGTGATTGCATGAGTGTAAGTTTACGGTACAATTTATTATATTATACAGTTTATTGCACCTACACTATACCACAAATATACTCGATACCTATATAAGTAGATGTTTTACAATTATACATTTACAAAAATTATACGTGAGCACAGTCAAAAATGATCATCATTCCCACTGTTTTTCGTGGATAAATCAGCTGTCATTCCTATTTAGGACCTTTGGGGCTCTAATTGGATTCCATTTGAAATTTTGTATTCAAAAGTACTCCTAATGTGTGGGTGGTTCACTGATTTGGAGGAGATAACCTAATTCACACCTAAAATGTCCATTCGTGCAATCACTTTCGGACAGAGGTAGTATAATAGGGGGTTTCAATGTTAAAAATGGAGAATGGAAGGTGGAGAATGGAGTGTGTGTAACACTAAAAAATGAGCCAATCATAGTAAGTCCATCAACCTTCATAAAGAAGTTGAGACCCCTCCGTACTGTGGTGGAGACGGGAATCGACTGCCAAAAACCGACACCCATGGTACGCTTCTCTGAACGACAGCTCATTCTCAGTGAACTACATGAGGTCATGATCATTTTGTCGCTATCCAACCTGCATGGACATTGTATTTCAGCAACTTCTGGTGGCTTACCTTGCCCTCTCGCCGGCCATGGTGGTCCCCACATCACTCTCCTTGGCGACACTGCTCGTGGCAATCATGGCGGCCTTCTTGTGAGTGGGTTTGGCAGCGGTCCTTGTGGCAGACCATTTGATGGCGATTCTAGTGGTGCTGGTTATTGTGGCAGTGACGGTGGTCCTTGTGTCTGTGATGGCTGTCCTTGTGACGGTTGTTCTGGCGATCCTTGTGGTGTTCCTCCCAGTGGTGGCCCTCCTCGTGACGCTGATTCTCTCGGTGGTCAGTTTGGTCTGTGTCCATATGGCGGTCCCGATGGTGCTCCCGAGATTAATGAAGTCCCCAATGGATTCATGAATGGTTCAACCGCCGAAACCTCCGGTAGCGCAATCGAGGAAGCGCCGTACTGTGGTTGTCTGTGCCAGTCGTTTGTAAGTGCTAATCAACTGGTTTGCCAATTGTTCCATGCATTGGTCAACTCCCGCTACCTGTCCAATCGACTGTACAATAGACCTCCTGAGCAAGAATCCATTTTTTCACCAATTGCACAACTGTTCAGGAAAACACTGCGTGAAATAATGCATCTCTATAGGATTCAACCAATGCTTGAGTTATTTCCGAAAAGACCCAGGAATCAACCAAGACATCAAGTGATTCAGTTTCGAATGAGTTATTTTGAATAGCAGTGTGTAAAGTTCGAAAAAGTAAATACGTTTGAAATTCTTTACAAAACGCTAATCGAAAATACAACTACCATCTTCGCTGTCGTCATACTCCATCTCAGCGGAAAGCTGAAAAGTCTCCCCATTTGCGTACATTGCACTCAAACGACGCTTGCGCTTGTCACGCGACATTGCCACCGACCCCGCACGTTTCGCCTTTTTCTTCTGACCCGTAGATATGAGCCCATTCACAAGGCGATGGAGATCATGGCCATCTTCCGCCCGCAGTGGCATGAAACGAATATGAACATTCGTAAACGCAACATATGACTGGAAGTAGATGTCGTAGTTGTCACGCTTCCACTTCAACGTGTCGCCCACCACACTCCACAACGTCTTCAAACGTCCGAAAATTTTTTCGATGATGACACGGTCACTGGCAATCTTGTCGTTCACATCCATTTCGGACACCGTCAAAACACCACCCGCCGGCCGCTTGGTTGGCGTTATGGCACGAAGGTTGCGGTGGAGACCTTGGTATCCCTTGTCCGCCAAAATCGCCCAAGAAGCTGGATACTCCTCACGGAGTGGACCTTGGTCAGCCATGTCGAGTTCGGACGGGGTCTTGGCGAGCTTGTTGAGGTGGAATTCACGGTTGGACTGGGCAATGGCGATATCAGCCATGCTAGCTGGCACCGCATTGGTGACGTTGATGGCCAGGCCGTTGGGCAATACGCTTGCCTCCACCTTGACACCATGCTGTCCGTGCTTTTTGCTGAAGAAGCGCTTCCTCTCTGGAAAACTTCTAGCCGGGATGTTGGTCTTCTGGAACGTGACGTCGACAGCGTAGAGGGCACACGGGTAGTTGGCAAAGCGGCGTTTGTTGGTCTCCAAGTGCTCCATCGTGTACTTGTCGGCCACAGCATCGATGTACCGTCCAACGAGAAAGGGATGCAGAGTTTTGAGGAACGAGTTCACACGGTTGGAGAACGAGGCTGATGTGTCGTCGAAGAGTGCGGACACGACATCCCACGACCCGCAATGTTTCAGCGAGGTGAGAGTCATGAAGAGCATGTCGCGACCCGTGACATCGCTCTTTCGACCAGAACCGACGTTGTAGTTTTGGTCGATCGTTGTCTGTAGGTCGGACCACAGTTGGTTGAACTCGCTGAGCGAGAAGTTCGTCAGCTCTGGGAGAACAGACGGGCCGCGCGTGTGGACAAAGCTGTCCAGGACAGGTGATGGAGAGTCACCGTCGTCGTCAGTGTCGTCCGTTGTTGGTGGGTTGTTGTTTCGCTTTGCCTCGCGGCGGGCCTGTATGCCGTTCAAGACCTCAACA